GTTGCGCAATTTGTTTTGTTCTAATCGTGTTTAGATGCATCTTTGTCTGGTGAGCTTTTTGGTAGAATATATGACGGCAAAACTAAAGTCGCCTATGGAATTAAGCCTAATCGAGAAATTTTTTGTGCAATGCAAACACATAGAGTGTCCCAAATTTTTAATTCTTTTATTCGCTATACAAAATATTTTTGTGAAATAGTGTTTTTATAGTAAATTTTGACCTATCAAACTAGGGCTTTTATTTTTCAGAAAAATGAGAATGTATCAAGTCCACTGTCAGATGCTGGGACTCAAGACGTGAGAATGCATCAAGTCCACTGTCAGATGCTGGGAATCAAGACAACTACTATGGCAGACGACTTCGGACTCGGTGCGTTTTACATAGTCTGCCTGATCACAAGACCAAGTTGCGACAACGAGGTCAACCCACTTCTGAAAGAATTAGATTTATAAAAATTTGTATTTATCATAATGATGTTCCTAGGTAATTTGAGCAAAGCTAAAGGCAAGCATTAACAAGCTACGCGAACTAATAAGAACTAAAACCAGGCTTAGACAATCCCTTTCTGAGGTACAGATTGATATGGATTCACTTAAGCTACGAGATATGGCTGACGGGATAGTAGAGGCCAGCGACATAATGATTCGGCGGATACATGATAAGAAGCTCCAGATCTTAGGAATAAGAATAAGATCGAGAAACTTTGCGACTAAGCTAAATCGTAATAACAATGATTTTTCATTAACTTGGGAAGGATAATTAATATAAGTAATTTATCCAGTATGACTCTGGAGGATAGTGTGGAAATTTAATTGACAAGAGGATTTAATTTTGCTCTTCCAAATGAGGTAACTAATTATCTGGACATGTTGAATTAATTAGCTTATTTGATAGATTGCCTGAGAAGATGAAGAATAGTATTGAGTTGGAGGTGATCCCAAATAAACACGCCAAAGCAATATTATGTTCTCAAAAGGGTTTCTGGATATTTAAGTCGCAATAATGTAATTGCTAT